CGGCAAAACATGTTGATTTAAACAGTAGCCTGCACTTCAATTTTAAAAATAAATATTGTCTGTGATGGTTGATGCTTGCTTCTCAAATTGGGAGTTCAGAAAACTCATTTGAAATTAACCAATAGTGAGCCAGTAGTTTCTTTGTAAATTTGGAGGTAAGGTGATTTGTTCATTCAATGTGTTAGGTGTGGTGCAAAGATTTTTTGAGCTGTGCTGTTTGAGGGGCAAAGAATCAATGCGTGACATGAGGTTTCTGTGCCTCACATTGGTCCAGCTCCAGCTTGTATTTGTTCACAATATTTGCCAATTATACCTGTTACAAATTCCCTCCATTGTTTAGCATTTTCATGAAATGCACAGAACAATTTGATACATTTCCCTTGGTATTTTCTTAGGCTCTTTTCAGAAGTTAAGTTTTGTTCTGTCAACTTGTGTTGATAATCAAAACTTTCAGAAAGTTTATTTTTAAACCTTTTATTCGAACGTGTTCCACTTCTCTGAAGTGTACAGCTCCCACTTTGAATCTGTTTGGAAATGTCTACTCCTGGAACTTCTGTGGGTGAGTTCACTGCATGGGATTATGTAGTGTTTGTGCTAATGCTGCTCACTTCTGCACTCATTGGAATCTATCAGGCAATTAAAGCTAGGGGCCACCAAACCAACTTCCAGTTTTTGCTGGGAAACAGACAGCTGAGGGCATTTCCTGTGGCTTTGTCCCTTGCGTCCAGCTTTATGTCTGCAATTACAGTGATTGGAACACCAGCAGAGGTTTATCGCTTTGGGGCCATGTTCTTGATTTTCTGCTTTACCTATGCCATCGTGATCGTCATCAGTGCTGAATTCTTCCTGCCTGTATTTTACAGACTAAACATCACCAGTACTTATGAGGTAAGAACAAAAGCTGATTTCGAAACCCATAATCCTCTATCTTCAAGACCAATTGCCTAACATTGATTGTTTCCACAGCTGTCTCAGGTCATCTGCAACCCTCATTCATGCCTTGTTTTTGTTCCCTCTGTACTTCATTAATCTGGTGGTCTCCTTGCCAGACTCCTAAATTACATCCTTCATAGACATGACGTGATCTAGATCTCCACTTTCTGTACCTTAATTGATACCAAACCCTGTTCATTCATCATCCCCATTTTCACTGATCTAAATTAGCTTCTATTCCTCCATGTTCACAAGTTCTCATAATTGTTCTTAAATCCTTCCATGACATCCCTTCTCCATCTCTTTAACTCCTCCTTGACGGCATGGTGGCTCAGTGGTGAGCACTGCTGCCTTACAATGCCAAGAACCTGGGCTTGATTCCAGCCTCGGTTGACTGTCTGTGTGGAGTTTGTACGTTCTCTCCGTGTCAGAATGGGTTTCCTCTGGGTGCTCCGGTTTCCTTCCACAGTCCAAAGATGAGCAGGTTAGGTAAATTGTCCATGCAAAATTGTCCATAGTGTCTAGGAATGTGCAGGCTATGTGGATTAGCCATGGGATATGCAGGTCTGGATCAAATGTTCTTTGGAAGGTCAGTGTGGACTCGATGGGCTGAATGGCCTGGTTCCATACTTAGGGATTCTATGACATTCCTCCAAAAATATCATCATCTGTGATCTCTGTGCTCCTTCAGCTTTGACTTGTGCACCCTGTTCTGGTTTGATCAACTATTAGTGGTATAGAAACAGAGAGTGCTGGAGAAATGCAAGAGGTCAGGCAGTGTCTGTGCGGAGAGAAGGTTAATGGTTTAAGTCCAATGTGACTCTTCAGAACTCAGAAGAGTCCAAAGATGAGTTATATCAGGCTTGTACTTTGTTCTTCTCTCCACAGATCTTGCCAGATATGCTGAATTTTCTAGCACTTTCTGTTTATATTTCAGATCTCAAGGACTGTATTACTTTGTTTTTATTTAACTTGTAGTGGCAGTGCTTCTAGCTATCTAGTCCTCAAGTTTTGAAATTCCGTCCCTAAACCTCGTCACTGCTTTCTCTCCTTTAAGTCAGTCTTCCAGACACTTGGTCGCAAGTTCGAATGTTTGTAGGATTTTATTTGGGAACTTGAGTTACGGTTAGGGCATGTAACCACTGAACACAAGGCTAATGCAGACTGTATGCATTTCTTGCCTAGAAATGATGTACATAAACGTGGTAGAGAAGGGCTTCACTGTTGCCTTTTCCATCGGGTCTCAATTCCATGTGATCTGACATCATCATGACATAGCTCCTTATGAAAATGATCTGGAGCTCTAAATTGAATATTGTTACATGTAACTCTAGTCTGCAAAATTTCTTTAAATTTGTGTTCAGTCCTTGTCTGATGATGTTCCCCTGAAGCACCTCAGTATATCCTACAATATGATGGGTTTTAAATATATATGAGGAAGATTCCTTTTATGTCGATAGAAGTGTTTACATTGTGCCCTCCAGGACCTCAGTATGTTCCAAAGTGCTTTGTAGCCAATGTAATATTTTTGAAGTGCAGTCACTACTGTTATAGACCCACAGTAAATTCCCACAAACACAACAGGCATACAAGATCAGAAAGTGAAAAAATATTATGGAGAGAAAACAGTGACCCTTCTTCAGAATTCCAGTTCTGAAGAAAAGTCACTAGATCTAAAACATTAACCCTGCTTTCACTTCACAGATGTTGCCAGACCTGCTGAGCTTTTCCAGCAATTTCTGATTTTGTCACAAAACAGTACAATCATCAGAGCAAGCCTCTCATGTTATCTACTTCCAGTAATCCTCCCTGCCCAACCTCCCTGTTGAGAGCAATTTCTAATAAAAATGCAGGTCAAGCCCACTGAGTACAGAATAATTCAAAACTGATCAATGTTATAATATTGATCAATCCTCACATAAAATACAGAACAAAATCTGAATTACACAGTGAACAAAAACACTTCGCATTTGTCAGTCAGTGCTTTCAACACCAAAGTACAACAGTTAAATAAATGTCAACACCTAATATTTATGTAAACAGGTGAACAATGGTCGCTTAGAGGAGGAATTGGGGAGATCCTAGAACTTGTTTAACTGTGTTCCAGTAAGTATCACATCCTTCATTAAGATCATAGAATCCCTACAGTGTGGAAACAGGCCCTTTGGCCCAACAAGTCCACACCGAACCTCAGAGCATCCCACCCAGACCCATCCCCCTGTAACCCACCTAATCTACACATCCCTGAACACTATCGGCAATTTTGCATGGCCAGTTTACCTAACCTGCTCATTTTTGGACTGTGGGAGGAAATCGGGGCATCCAGAGGAAACCCACGCAGACACGGAGAAGAATGTGCAAACTCCACACGGACAGTTGTCCAAGGGTGGAATCGAACCCAAGTTGCTGGCGCTGTGAGGCAGCAGTGCTAACCACTGAGCTGCCATGCCGCCTAATGATGACAGATGGGTATGGGAGTTGAAGAGGACAAAATTATGAAACTGAACGGTAACCAGCTCAATTCTCCAGTCACCGAATTCATTCACAAATAATGTGCCATTACTCAAACATAAAACATAGACCATTCATTCTGAAACTATTTCATGCCAAAGCTTGAGTCTATACAGCACATACTGTTTGTAGTAAAATAGTCACAAGACATTTCAAAGAAACTATACCAGACAAAATTTGATACCAAGCCACAGAATTAGTTATTAGAACACTTGACCAAATGATTAGATCAGATATAGGTGTTAAGGATAACTAGAAGGAAAGGTGAGAGACAGAGGTGTGTAGGGGGGATTCCATAGCATGGGACCTAGGCAGCTGAAGACATAGACAGTACTACTTTGGGACTACTCAAGTGGCCAGAATTGGAAAAATACAGAGATCTTGTATGGTTGCAGGCGAGGAAGAGTTCCAGAGATAGGGAGATATGAGGCCGTGGAAGTATTAGAAAACAAGAATTACAAATGGCATCACTGCCAGATTGGGAACCAATAAGGTAGATCAGTGAGCAGAAGGAAGATGGATGAATGGGTGTGAGTTAGGATACATACAGCAGACAATTGTATAAAATCATGTGTGGAAGTTGAGAGGTGGCAAACCCTTTAGAACAGCATTGGAATAGTTCTGACAAAGAGATGAGGTTTCAATGGCAGGTGCTTGAGGCAGTTACAAAGGAAATGTGGAAATGAAAGTACACGGTATTGATAATGGAGAGAAAATTCCAGTTCAACCTCTAACAGTTTCCAGAAAGAGGAATGGAGTTGGTCGTGAGGGAATCGAGCTTGTTGGGAAAAGCCAAGACAATGGTTGCTGAATATTTAATTTGGGGAAATACTGACCCATTGGGATGATAGAGATGTAGTGTAGACTTTAAACATTATAGATAGGTGGACAAGCTGTTGAACGTAAGCACACAAGAAAGAGGAGAAGAAGTAGGCCATTCAACCCATCATGTCTGTTCCACAATTCAGTAAGATTGTGGTTAAACTTCTACTTCAACACCATTTTCCTGCACTATCCTGATGTCCCTTGATGTTCTTAACATGTACAGATCAATCTCAATCTTGATCAAACTCCATGATTAGGCCTCAGCAGCTCTCTGGGGCAAAGAGTTACAAAGATTTACCATCTCCTAAGTGAAGAAATTCCACCACATCTCAGTCTTAAATGGCCTACCCCTCCATTCTGAGACTCCATCTTGGTCTGAACTGCCTGTCATGCTAGTGAACACACCTGTCCTGCAACTACCCTGTTGATCAAGTAAGAATTTTGTATGTGTGATTCAGATTGCCTCTCGTTCTTCTAAACTCCAGAGAGTGTAGATCCAGTTTACTTTATCTTCTTCCAACAGGCAATCTGTCCATCCCAGGAATGAGTTTGGTGAACCTTTGTTGCACTCCCTCCATGACAAGTCTATCTTTCCACAGGTAAAATTGCACATGTACTGCTCAAGTGTATTCTCATCAAGCCTCTATGTTATTACAGTAAGATATGTTTGCTTTTATACACAAATCCTCTTGCAATATAAACTTAAATACCATTTGGCTTTGCAATTGCTTGCAGCACCCACACCTTAACTGTAACCAGTCCATTCTATATCGATTTACACAATCCATCACTATACCCAATCCATTGCCATCCATTACTGTGTCCTATTCATTACTGTATACAATCTGTATACAAACTGTAATCAACCCAATATATCAACATTAATGATGTATTAATGTACCCATTGTCTCCTTTCTACAGCCTCCTTCCCTGTAAGAGGAGGGATACAATTCCTATCCATTTCCCTTTTCTTTCTTCACTGCCTGAGGCTACTTAATACAACCTCCAGGTGACACAGTTATTTCTTTCAGTTAGTGTTCTGCATTCACTGCTCATAAAGTTCTGAAGGGGTATAAAAAATGGATACTGAGTAATTGCTGGGAAATATACAACACAGGGCCATCGTCTCAGTATAAGGACCAATTATTTAGCACTGAGATATGGAGATTTTCTTTTACTTAAAGGATTGTGAATCATTGGAATTAGCCACCTTGAGAATTGTGGATGCTCCATCATTGAATATATTTAAGGCTGGGAGTGACAAATATTTAGCCTGTTCAGGAATCAGGGATATGAGGAGTGAGTAGGGAATGAAGTTAAAGCCCAAGAACAACCACGACCGTATCGAATGGTGCAACAAGACCACATGGTCTACTACTGCTGCTATTTCTTCTGTTCTAGTGACACCTGTTCAGTATCTACCATTCGTATCTCCTCTGGAGACCTGTCCCATTTCAACTCCCATTGATTTTGCTCTGCAAACTCAGTCCTCTTTTAGTATGTCTTATCCTCTACTCTGAAAGATCTTCCGTTTTATTTTTATCTTCTGTGTGTAGGATTTGTGTATAAGCGCAAATATATCTTAGTGTAATAATATAGAGCCTTGATGAGACTACACT